TGATGCTTGCTGTGGGTTTGTCATATATAGCTTTTATTATGTTGAGGTATGTTCCTTCTATTCCTGCTTTCTGGAGAGTTTTAATCATAAATTGATGTTGAATTTTATCAAAGGCTTTTTCTGCATCTATTGAGATAATCATATGGTTTTTCTCTTTCAATTTGTTAATGTGGTGTATTACATTGATTGATTTGCGGATATTAAAGAATCCTTGCATTCCTGGGATAAAGCCCACTTGGTCATGATGTATGATTTTTTTAATATGTTGTTGGATTCTGTTTGCTAGAATTTTGTTAAGGATTTTTGCATCTATGTTCATCAGTGATATTGGCCTGTAGTTTTCTTTTTTTGTGGCATCTTTGTCTGGTTTTGGAATTAGGGTGATGGTGGCCTCATAGAATGAGTTTGGAAGTTTACCTTCTTCTGCAATTTTCTGGAAGAGTTTGAGTAAGATAGGTGTTAGCTCTTCTCTAAATTTTTGGTAGAATTCAGCTGTGAAGCCATCTGGTCCTGGGCTTTTGTTTGCTGGAAGATTTCTGATTACAGTTTCGATTTCCTTGCTTGTGATGGGTTTGTTAAGATCTTCTATTTCTTCCTGGTTCAGTTTTGGAAAGTTATACTTCTCTAAGAACTTGTCCATTTCTTCCAAGTTGTCCATTTTATTGGCATAGAGCTGCTGGTAGAAGTCTCTTATGATCCTTTGTATTTCAGTGTTGTCTGTTGTGATCTCTCCATTTTCGTTTCTAATTTTGTTAATTTGGTTCTTCTCCCTTTGTTTCTTAATGAGTCTTGCTAATGGTTTGTCAATTTTGTTTATTTTTTCAAAAAACCAGCTTTTAGCTTTGTTAATTTTTGCTATGATCTCTTTAGTTTCTTTTGCATTTATTTCTGCCCTGATTTTTAAGATTTCTTTCCTTCTACTAACCCTGTGGTTCTTCATTTCTTCCTCCTCTAGTTGCTTTAGGTGTAGAGTTAGGTTATTTATTTGACTTTTTTCTTGTTTCTTGAGGTAGGCCTGTAATGCTATGAATCTTCCCCTTAGCACTGCCTTTACAGTGTCCCATAGGTTTTGGGTTGTTGTGTTTTCATTTTCATTCATTTCTATGCATATTTTTATTTCTTTTTTGATTTCTTCTATGATTTGTTGGTTATTCAAAGCGTGTTGTTTAGCCTCCATATGTTTGAATTTTTAATAATTTTTTTCCTGTAATTAAGATCTAATCTTACTGCACTGTGGTCAGAAAAGATGACTGGAATGATTTCAATCTTTTTGAATTTACCAAGACTAGATTTATGGCCCAGGATGTGATCTATTCTGGAGAAGGTTCCATGTGCACTTGAGAAAAAGGTGAAGTTGATTGTTTTGGGGTGAAACGTCCTATAGATGTAGCAAACTGGTAAAAACAAAATTGTAATCATTGAACAAAGCGCTCTGGCAATCAAGACGTTTAAAACCTTCAATCTTCTGGGGCGAGGAAAGCACTGTGCGACATTTAGAACTCTGATTTACAAACAGGGTGGTCACAAATTTTCCTGGCTTGAAGACTTCTACAACTTTCCTGATCAGGTCATCATAGGAGGTCTGACTTAAGTTTGTTTCAAAGCTAACATAAGAAAATTCTGGTTCTGGAGTGATGTGAATAGTCCAATAAGTTCCATCCGATTTCATCCCATTCATTGAATACCCACAAGGATTGAACATTGTGGCATCAATGACAGAACCTGGTATCAGGTCACAAATTCCACTCTCACGAGTGACATCCTTTGCAGTAACACCATCTTTCATGTAGAACTGGTCCATAACTGCTGGGTCAAGCTCACTCATCAGAATTTCCAGGGTTTGATCTGGCTGATTGATAACCCTACTCTCTGGGAAATCCAAAGTATACAAGTACCAACAGTCAGAATTCATGCGTCCCATACAATATGCTGCTCCATTTGGGAAAATTGCATTAAGGAACTCTATTTCTTCCTGGAAATTCCGGTGTGGGTACCCTTGGTGAGAAGGCTTCATGAAATTCTTACGAGAATAAAAGAAGCTTTGAATTGAGTCAAACCCACTGTAATCCCTAGCAAGTTTCAACAGGGGAACCAGTGCTTTCAGCAAGAGGGTGGTACCACATGTCTTCAAAATGAAACGTCTCTTGGAGACAAACATGCTACTCTCACTGAGTACATAAGCTTCCTGCTTGTCAGTTTTTGTCACACTTATGATTGAACATTGCACATCCTTCAAAAGTATGTCCCACTCGGATCTTGGGATGGTGCGAAGATCCCCAGATCCTTGGTTTGCGTCGGGTTGCTGCCTGGAGAACCAAACCTCCAGCAGTTTCTTGGTCCCTTCGAAAAAATGTGCAGCTTCCATCACCGTGAGACTAGCGAACAACCAACAACCACAGAAAATCAACTAAATTAAATCTCTTCTCCCGCCGCCGCCACCGCTGCTGCGGATTGTTCTAGCTGTGTTACTAAAGTTCAGGTTCCTTTTTTTTTTTTTTTGCTATAATTTTATATTAACTTTTTTTAAAAAAAGGATTAATAAAATTTTCCCGGCTTTGTGTGTGTGTGTGAGCAAAAGTTGAACGTGAGTCTGTTGGAAATAGAGGCAGATACAGCTCAGTCTCTTGTAGTCCGCTGTTTCCCCGTTAGAGAGAGTAGAGCGAGCGCTAGCTAATGTCGCCGGCCATACTGTGGGAGCCCAAGTGGTTTCAAAGAGTTGGACATGACTGAGTGACTTTCCTTTCACTTTCTGATAGTTTATTATTAGTGTATAGAAATGCAACAAATTTCTGCATATTAATCTTGCATCATGCAACTTTATTGACTTCATGTATTAGTTTTAGTAGTTCTTTTGGTGGAGTTTCTTTTTTTTTTTATCATTTTCTGTATATAGTATCATGTCATCTGCAGATAGTGACAGATTTATTTGTTATTCCAATTTAGATGTCTTTCACTTCATTTTTTCTGTTCCCTGTGCCTAGGCCTTCCAATATATGTTAAATAGAAGTGATAAGAGTGAGCATCCTTGTCTTGTTCCTGATTTTAAAAGAGAAACTTACACATTTTCACTAATCTGTATTATGTCAGTTGTGGGATTGCCATAAATAGCTTTTGTTAAATTGAGATATGCTCTCTCTATACCACCTTTGATGAGAATTTTTTTCTTTTTAATCATGAAATGGATATTGAATTTCATCAAATGCCTTTTCTGTGTCTATTGAGATCATCATGTGATTTTTATCCTTATTTTTTTTTCCTGTTGTCAATGTAGTGAATTATATTGATTTGTGGATACTGAATAATTCTTACATTCCTGAAATAATTCTCAATGGATTATGATGTTTAATCCTTTTTTATATATTGTTGAATTCAGTTGGCTAATATTTTGTTGAGCTTTTTCATCTATATTCATCAGAGATATTGGCCCATAATTTTCTTTTCTGTAGTGACCATGTCTACTTTTGGTATCTGAGTAATGTTGATCTTGTAGAATGATTTTGGGAGTGTTGCCTCCCCTTTAGTGTTTTGAAATAGTTTCAGAAGGATAGGTATTAGCTCTTCTGTGTAAGTTTGGTAGAATTCCCCTGTAAAGCCATGTCATTTTGGACTTTTGCTTGCTGGAAGTGTTTTGATCACATACTCAATTTTAATACTAGAGGTCAGTCTGTGCAGATCTATTTCTTCCTGATTCAATCTTGGAAGATTATATGTTTCTAGAAATTTATTAATTTCTTCTTGATTGTCCAATTTGTTGGCATACAACTGATTGTAATATTCCTTTATGACTTTTTGTATCACTGTGATATCAGTTGTGATTTCTTCTCTCTCACTTCTTGTTTCAGTCCTTTCTCTTTTATTTTTATTTTGTTGCCACTTTTATCTTTTAATTGGAAGATAATTGCTTTACAGAATTTTGTTGTTTTGTCAAACATCAACAAGAATCAGCCATAGGTACACCCATGTTCCCTCCCTCCTGAACGTCCCTCCCGTCTCCCTCCCCATCCCATCCTTCTAGACGGTCACAGAGCTCTTATTTGAATTCTCTGAGTCATACAACAAATGTTCATTGGCTATCTATTTTACATATGGTATTGTAAGTTCCTATGTTACACTCTCCATACATCTCACCCTCTCCCTCCTCCCCTCCTGCCATGTCCATAAGTCTGTTCTCTACGTCTGTTTCTCCATTGCTGCCCTGTAAATAAATTCATCAGTACCATCTTTTTAGATTCCATATATATGCATCAGTATATGATCTTTATATTTCTCTTTCTGACTTACTTCACTCTGTATAATAGGCTCTAGGTTCATCCACCTCATTAGAACTGACTCAGATAGATTTCTTTTCAATGGCTGTGTAGTATTCCATTGTATACATGTACCACAGCTTCTTTATCCATTCATCATTTATCCAATCCATCATTGATGGCCATATAGGTTGCTTCCATATTCTAGCTATTATAAATAGTACTGCAATGAACATTGGGGTACATGTGTCTTTTTCAATTTTGGTCTCCTCTGGGTATATGCCTAGTAGTAGGATTGCTGGCTCATATGGTGGTTTTATTCCTAGTTTTTAAAGGAATCCCCACATTATCTTCCATAGTGGCTGTGTCAATTTATATTTCCACCATCAATGCAAGAGGGTTCCCTTTTCCTAACATCCTCTCCAGCATTTATTGTTTGCAGACTTTTTGATGATGGCCATTCTGTGTTTCAGTCCCTTCTCTTTTTTCTTGATGAGCCTGGATAAAGGTTTATCCATCAACTTTAATTTTTCAAAAAAGATCTTGATGTCCTAGGAGACTGATTACTTATAAGCTTTGCATAAGAAGGGCGAGGCTTCCAGCCAAGTCTTTTCCTCCACTTGTTCATTCTGCCTTTATTCTTACAGTATCTACAGTGAGTAGGCAGCAAGAACTTTGAAAGTTTGGTTGGATGAAAGGAATGCAGTGTGTTGTGTGGTATTTCTAACTTGCCATACCAAGGGGGTTACTTACCATAGATTTTTCTGGGGCCCAACTGATATCTGCAAACAATTTCATCCTTCCTTTTTTGTTGTAGGCCAGATGCAGAAAATTTTACTTTATAGGCTTCTGCAAGAATAACATCCAAAGGTTTGTGTTAGGAGGGACTCAGTGCTGTCTTCCCTCTGACCTCACAGTTATAGAATTTCACTCAAAACTGAACTCCCAAGTGGTTTCTAGGAGGAAGTAGCTCTGTCTGAACCAAACTCTGGTTACCTTCTCTGCAAGATCCTCAAATGGTATCGCTGAGGGTCCACTCTGAGGATACTGGGCTGGGTTTTGAGCAGTTGGGGTGCTGCTAAAAACCCCTCTGAACAGTTGAGCTAAAAGACAGCCAGTCTCATACCCTCCACAGGGACAAATCTGGACCCTGAAAAGCCATGCTCTTCCCTAAGTGGTATAGACAGTGCTTGCCACTGAAAATCACAGAGGAACCAAGACAACGCAGGCTGAAGACAGTCCTGATCTTTGGGTTGAGCACACAAGCCTGGTGCTTGTGGGGTTTTCTGACACTTGAGGGTCTGTTTTACCTCCCTATGTTTTACCTCCCTATGTCAGGCTAGAGACCCCAGAAGCAAAATCAGGACCTGGGTGAGGCATGCAATGAGGCAAGGACCCTGCACAGCAGAATCCCCCATGGAGGGTAAAATCCTGTCTAAGCTGTGGTTCTGATGTCTGCAGTGACTATTCTTTCCCTCCTTCTTACTACCCCTTCATGTGTCTCACACAACGCTCTACCCCCACCACAGAGATTCACCAAGCACTTCCTTTGTCCAGGGTGGTAGACACTGATACATGGTTCTGGGCCATAGCCCCTTGCCAGACTACTGGGTCCCCAGTGGTGTTTTCTGCGAACTGAGACAAATACCAGGGGATCCAGAGAGGGCAAGTCATAGGCCTGCCCCTGGGGAGCTGGCCAGGATAAGTGCAGGTCATCCTACTGCAAGTCCATGGTCTTTAGCCTCCACCCGTGCATCCTGCAAAGGTTGGCTAGTTCCAATCGCATATACTTGATTTGCCCAAGATCAATTAACTTGGGAAGCATTCCTCAGAAATGCCAGCACAGCCTTGGACCTGGCAGTCCTGATTTCTCCTGCTTCAGATGTTCCTGTAGCTTCCATCAGATCAAAGTGGGGTTTGCAAATTCTCTTTTGAAGTTAATAGATTCTTGGCCTGCTGACATGTTTTGGGACATGTTTTCCAACATGTTTATGTTGGAAGCACAAACCCCCACTGGGGACCTGGCGGTCCCAGCCTCGTGGTGAAGATTGAGCCCACCCTCTTCTTCCATGTGGTGACTGGAGGGAGGGCAGCAGCAGAGGTCAGGGCTGGCTGATAATCCAGCACACAGACCATACTGCTTCCTTCCAGGAGCAGTACACACTGCCTGCCACCTGGGTGCCTTCCTTCCTCCTTGGGTCTCCTGCTGCCTTCAGCCCTGCTCAGGTGCTGCATCAGCTTTGCAACAGAGTCCCTCTGTCCCAGGCAGTGCTGCTCTCAAAGGATGGCTTCTGAGTTTTGGCAAGTCTCCAAACTGGAAGGCAGGGTGATGGTTTCAATATTTCAGCAAAAGAAACTTTCAGATAAAGGACTGTTGTTTTGTCCAGAAAGCTGTCCCTTTTTCTTCCCAAATTTCTACCCATTGTACTGTAATTCCTCCAACAGTATCAACCAAGGGAAGAAAATGAAGTGACAGGAAGGCCTAAAATTGGTTTCCAGGGCTGTATTTGCTGCATTTCCACATACAGTTCACTGCCCACCAGCTCTCACATGGCAGAAGGACTGACAGTCCCTGGAAGGGAGACCAATCCTTTCTGGAATGGAAAGCTTTCGCTCTGAAAGAAAACGATACACCAGGCCACCCGGGGGTTCCAAAGAGCTGGGAAGCTGATGGAGATGAGCAGGAAGAGGGCATCTAACTTGCTTGAAACTGACTAGGGTACACAGATGAATGTGACCTGCCCTGGGGAGGGCAGATCTGGAGCACCACATGCTGAGTGGCATATCCACTTTGAGAGAAACTGGACTTTGACCAATTATTACCTGGTTCTCCACTTAAGGCAGAAATTCTACTTTGGTCTTGATCGAGGGAATTCCTTTCCCAAGTTCATAGTGTGGTAAATATCAGGATGGTCCTACAGTATGACTTCTAATATCAACCTTTTAGGAATAATCTGAATATTGACCAAGAGAGACTAATGAAATCGGCCCATCCATGCAATAGAATACTGTGCATAAAGTTGGAAAATTCTATGTACTACAAGATCCTATTAATTAAAAAATATCCTTGTAAAGTATTTTTAGGTAGGAGTTACATATAAAAGAGGGTTTCTTTGTGGTTGTTACCTCTGGACACATTAGGCTGGGACAAGGGGGGACCTTGTCATGGTGGAAGGGCAGCCTCTACCCAGGCTGCTTGCTGGAGGGTCCCACGCTACGTGTGTGCAGTGTGTCCTGCCTTCACCCCTCAGGTTCTCCTGCCCCACAGAGCCCCCACAGAGAGGCTCTGGCAGACGCAGAGTAGGACACCAGACCTTAGGGGGAAGCCTTGCTCTGCATTGTTTCCCACTATGGCCTCGCATGCTGGGCTCACCTGCTGGGCTTCTTGCAGACACTCACTCTGGTCTGGTCACATATGGGAAAAAGTGTGACCAGGTGGTGCCTCCAGCCTGCCTTCCGGGGTCAAATCCCAAGCAAATCCCAAGCAACACACAGCAGCGGTGAATCCCCAAAGCACAGTGGCAAATGTCCCAGGCCAGACCCTGGGCTCATTCCGTATGAGTTACCGAAGAAAAGTTCTAGAGCAGCAAATTAGCCTTTGGAGGAAGAGCTCAGGGAGGAGCTGGCTCCGGGGTTGAGGGCAGGGATGGTCTGTGAAAGGAGCTGAGAGGACATTCTGGGGCAACCCTGGTGTTCTGAGTCTTCATGGGTTTGCATTTGTCAGGACTCATCAAATGATACACTCAAGTCTGCTGCATTTCAAAAAGAGAATCTTAACAAAAATTTTTTTTCCAAATTAAAGATGTGTGTTGTGCTGTCCTGGTGACTCTAATATTTTTTAAACTTTTTTTTTCCATTTATTTTTATTTGTTGGAGGCTAATTACTTTACAATATTGTAGTGGTTTTTGCCATACATTGACATGAATCAGCCATGGATTTACATGTGTTCCCCATTCAGATCCCCCCTCCCGCCTCCCTCTCCATCCCATCCCTCTGGGTCTTCCCACTGCACCAGCTCTGAACACCCGTCTCATGCATCCAACCTGGGCTGGTGATCTGTTTCACCCTTGATACTATACTTGTTTCAAAGCTGTTCCCTCTGAACATCCCACCCTCACCTTCTCCCACAGAGTCTAAAAGTCTGTTCTGTACATCTGTGTCTCTTTTTCTGTTTTGCATATAGGTTTATCGTTACTATCTTTTTAAATTCCATATATATGCGTTAGTATACTGTATTGGTCTTTATCTTTCTGGCTTACTTCACTCTGTATAATGGGCTCCAGTTTCATCCCATCTCATTAGAACTGATTCAAATGAATTCTTTTTAATGGCCGAGTAATATTCCATAGTGTATATGTACCACAGCTTCCTTATCCATTCGTCTGCTGATGGGCATCTAGGTTGCTTCCATGTCCTGGCTATGATAAACAGTGCTGTGATGAACACTGGGGTACATGTGTCTCTGTCAGATCTGGTTTCCTCAGTGTGTATGCCCAGGAGTGGGATTGCTGTGTCATATGGCAGTTCTATTTCCAGTTTTTTAAGGAATCTCCACACTGCTCTCCATAGTGGCTGTACTAGTTTGCATTCCCACCAACAGTGTAAGAGGGTTCCCTTTTCTCCACACCCTCTCCAGCATTTATTGCTTGTACACTTTTGGATTAAAGATCTAAATGGAAGACCAGAAACTATAAAACTCCTAGAGGAGAACATAGGCAAAACACTCTCCGACATAAATCACAGCAGGATACTCTATGACTCACCTCCCAGAATATTGGAAATAAAAGCAAAAATAAACAAATGGGACCTAATGAAGCTTAAAAGCTTTTGCACAACAAAGGAAACTATAAGCAAGGTGAAAAGACAGTCTTCAGAATGGGAGAAAATAATAGCAAATGAAGAAACAAAGGATTAATCTCAAAAATATACAAGCAACTCCTGCAGCTCAATTCCAGAAAAATGAATGACCCAATCAAAAAATGGGCCAAAGATCTAAACAGACATTTCTTCAAAGAAGACATACAGATGGCTAACAAACACATGAAAAGATGCTCAACATCACTCATTATCAGAGAAATGCAAATCAAAACCTCAATGAGGTACCATTACAGGCCAGTCAAACTTTTTTGTTTTAAACATTTTATTTTGTATTAGGGTATAGCTGATTAACAATGTGATACTTTCGGCTCAACAGTGAAGGCATTCAGCCATACATATATATGTATCCATTCTCCCCTAAACTCTCCTCTTATCTAAGCTGCTGCTTAACATTGAGCAGAGTTCCATGTACTATACAGTAGGTCCTTGTTGGCTATCCATCTTAAACATAGACTGTGTACATACCTATCCCAAACTCCCTAACTATCCCTTCCTTTAGCAACCATAAGTTCGTTCTCTAAATCTGTGAGCCTATGTTTTGTAAGTAAATTTATTTGTATTTCTTTTTAGACTCCATATATAAGGTATGACCCAGTATATTTCTCTTTCTTTGTTTGATTTACTTCACTCAGTATAACAATCTCTAGGTTCATCCATGTTGCTGCAAGTGGCATTATTTCATTCTTTTTAATGGTTGAATAATATTCCATTGTATATATGTACCAGATCTTCTTCTTCTTCTTCTTCTTTTTTTTAAATACAACTGTTTTCACACAGCTTATCCAGAAGTTTAAAGTTAAAATGTGGGCATTCACCCCCCCCACCACTCAAAAAAAATATCCCATGCCACTTTCCAACATATAGACTATCACACTCTTATTCTCATTACCTATGATTACCACACACTCTTTCCAAACACATGGGGGTCAAGACCCCAACTATTTAGTAATCCAAAGAAACTACATAGTTA